GACCAAATTTTATACAAACTATTACTTCACTTTTTAACTGATATCTAGCAACCAACCAAATATCTAAGCAATAGAAAAAGGAAAGAATTTTTCTGATATTCAAAAAACCTATTTTTGATATCAATTTTACCAACTTGAGACCTATAAGTCTTCTTAAATATATTAAAAAACTTTATACTAAACTCTTAACAAACTGCCTAAACAGTATTTTTACTCAATATAACATTCTTTTACCATATAACTATATTGCTTTACCTGAAAATAGTACAACTATCTCTATCCACATCCTTAACAATATCATTGAAAAGGCATCTTGTAATTCTAAACAACTTTGGTTCATATCACAAGATATGAGTAAAGTATATAATTCTGTTAATCTAGAACTATTTTATAGATCTCTTAAACACATTAATATACCACTTAAGCTTATATATATACTTATCAACCTATTATCAGACTATCATAATAGAGTTATTACAAATCTTGGTCTTACTGACTCATATCCTGTTAACAATGGAATTGACTAAGAGAAAACAATAACACCTCTGTTCTGGCAAATCTACTATAATCCTCTCATTAGTAAAATCACAATTCAATTCACTGGCTATACACTAACTGCCTCATAGCAAACTTGTTTGCATTCTTCTCAACATCAAGAAACTCAAACCTCTATTTCTGAACTTGCATATATGAATGACACACTTTGGATTGCCAAATAAAAAAAATGAACTTAAACCAATCACTCAGGCTACAATATCATTTTATCAAATGGCAAATATCCAAATCAACCCTACCAAATCAGTATTTATCTGCAACCAACCCACAAACTCTATCACCTTTTGTAACTACTTATTAAACTCAATACCTCGTAATTAGCTTTTCAAGTTTCTAGAATACTAGTATACCCTCGACAATAAACAATCTCAACAAACTAAACTTATAAAAGATGAAGCATTTCAACTTATCAATATTGCTAGCTCAAAGAAAATTACTGATAAGCAAATTGCTTACATTATTAATACTGTCATTATTACTACTTTGGAATATAAACTACACAATATTGTATTTTACAGACTATATGTAACCAAATCTCTTCCAAATATCTTACTGTAACAAAATATAAATTACACCTTGCCCAGTTTACTTCTAACAGTACTATACTTAATCCATACTTTTACAATATCAAAAACATTTGGGATATCCAACTTCAACTTCATGTTACTAATTTTTACAATGAATTAATAACTTATACTTATTAGGTATCTCTACACATATCTGAGAATATAGCAACTACAGAATAACCTGTAGTCAACTATTAATATACTTTAGCACCCACAATCAAGCATAGATAGGCCAAACAAATACACTCTTAACTTCTATATTATTTAACTTTTTAGCCACTTAGATACATCGATCACTGCAAATTCTAACTTTCAATAGCCCATACTATCCAACACAACTTATAGCCTTTAAAAAAGATTCTTCAACAACATCAGCAAATTTAAAGATACAAAATATTGCAAAAGAATTTGTGATATGAAAAAATTGTGAAAAAATATGCAATATATTTCAAAATATTTCGAAAAATAATAATTTTAAAATATTTTAGAGAAAATTTTAAATATTTGAAATATATTACAAAATATTTCAAAATATCATATTTTGAAATATTTTGAAATTATTATAATTATTATAGACCCTTAAATATTATTTATTATATTAGTTCTACTGTATTTAATATAATTATATAAAAAAATCTACTGTAATAAAAGTTCAGAATAGTACAGTCAAACCTCTCTATAGTTACATCTTTAGAATACAATAAATCATGATTATAAAGAGGTATAACTAATTGATATAGATTAATTAATACTCTTAGAATTTGTAGTGTCAGAAATAGGATCAGGGTTTATGTAACATGATCTATTGTATGAATGGCGTAATCATTAAATTAATGAAAACATGAAATTAATTTAGTAATAGTCTAATGCATATAACTAGATAATTATTTATCTGATGATAATCTTGTATTATAAAAAAGAGCTTGATCTAATAAAGCAAAAGAGAGTTCTTAGTATAGTTAAGAAATAGTTTTAAGTGAACAAGTGGCTAAATATTTGTGTACATATCTAACAAGATGAAAGATCTGGTGCGATATACCAGTCAAGTAAACTTAAGCAAAGTAAACAATCTCTTAGTGAGATTGGACCCAAAGCTAATAAAGTAGGATTTGTATATGATATAAGGATCTGGGCAAGAGAAAAGTCTTACTCACAGAAATAAGTAAAGAAAATAAAGCTATAAAACCAAAAGTGGTAGTTCGTGAAGCTGAAGGTAGTAAATCTGTGGAACTGAAAGTAGTAAAGAATTGAGACCAAAGATTGGAAAAAGTTGATATCAAAGATTAGAAAAAGTTGAGACCAAAGATTGGTAAAACTTGAGGCCAAAGATTGATAAAGCATGAGACCAAAGTCAGTAGAGACGTGAAACCAAAGTTGGTAGAAATGTGAGACCAAAGTTGGTAGAGTTATGAAACCAAAGTTAGTTAGGTGAATAGAGTTATTGAATTTCTGTAATCAAAGCCTTGGTTGCAAAATTGACATTGTTAGAGTTGGACAAAGTAAAGTCTACCTGAGTAGTTAAACCAAAGAGAATGATGAGACCAAACTACCTGGCTACATTGGTAAAACTGGTAGTTCAAGGAGTCCTAGAACGTTTAAAGTCAGTTCAAAAGAAATGAGAAAAGCGTAGGACATGCCTATGTTATGTATGTTAACGTAAAGGGCATATGGCTCATTGATGTTCTTTAAAAAATCAAGCTTGTGATCGATATTTGAAAATTAAATATATAGAAGTACGTTACATAAAAATTGAAGAAAAAAAGCATTGTGAACGTCGAAGCCATAGTAAAGGTGTTTCAGAATGGGTAAAGAAGAAGATTAAGGACAATGATGTTGCAAATATAAAGCATGTTAGAGACAAATTGTAGAACAATGCTTGTAATGATATCAATTATGTGAAGAAAAAGAGTAGGGTTGTTAGCATAATGAATAAAATGAATATTGATAGTAAGAGACCCGAGAAATACATACTTGACGACATTCAAATGGTAAATGATAAAGCCCCAAAAGATATTGATCATGAGATCGATAATGCTGATAAAATGGTTAAAGGCAATATGGATATTAGATGTATAGATTTTAATGGAAAGAAAAATTAGAGCATTAATAAATAGAATAAAAGGATATCAGATATAAAAGATATAAATTTGGAAGACAAACCTGAAACCAATGAATAGAATAATTTAGAGCATTGTCATGAAAAAGGCAATGATATTAAAAGAATGAGAACAAGACACATGTCTGTTATCGAATACCTGCTAAAGGTAGTTTAAAAGCACAGGATAATCTTGGACTATATTATCAATATAGAATTAGAATTAGAATTAATAAGAATGAATATAAGGTATTCGACTATTATTAAAAACCTGCTGATAAAGGTAATGATAGTGGAACATATGCCATTGAACATTGTTATGAAAAGGGGATTGGTGTTAAAAAAAATAAACATCAAATGTTTATTCATTATCAAAAAACCTGCTGATATGAATAATACTGATGAATTATCTGTTCCTAGATATTATAACCAAGATGGAGCAATGGTAATAATACAAGCATCATTGAACATGGTTGTGAAAATAGATGCGATGATGAAAGGATTGCTAGAAACATTGATGGAAACTGGGTTTGACAGCGATAGTGTAAATCATAAAAATAGTATAATAAGTGTATACAAAATAGATAGTTATGAAGAGTCATCAGTTAGGCAAAATAAGGGTAATAATGCTACCCAAATAAAGTGCAAAGAAATTGGCTATCTATCTGCGTTGAATAACAAGATATCCCTAATGATCAAACCTACCAAGAAAATGCCTTATAATGATATTGATGAAAAAGATAGAGACATGAATTCTAAAATGACAATTTTTGATATTGAGTATGATAGAACGTATAGTGTTGGTTGGTGTTATCAACGTGAAATCAAGATTTCAATATAAATGCTAAAAAACTTGATAATGTTAAACAATTGTGAAAAAATCCTGTAGAGTTATATAATACAAACTGTTATAGCAAGCTCTGGTATAGTAATAATAGGCATTATATTGTTTGTAGGAATTAATGGTAATATATATTGGAGATTTATATTAGAGATGCATATTAGTACTACATTAAAATATGGGTAATATTAGCTTAGTATATGTGTAGTTATTTTGCAAATGGGATAATTTGCATAAGTTGGTTTTGTATAGGATATAACTTTGAGACAAAGTTCTGGAGATCTAGCTTATAACATGGTTTAATCGGTACCCTTGAAATTTATAGTACCAGGAATAAGATCAGTTTCATATAATATAATCTATTGCATGAATAGCATGATTGTTAAATTAATAAAAGCATAAAATTTAGTAATAGTCTAATATGTATAACCAGATAATTATTTATCTAATAATAATCTTGTATTATAAAAGAGAGCTTGATCTAATAAACAAAAGAGAGTTTTTAGTATAGTTAAGAAACAGTTCTAAGTAAACAAGTGGCTAAACATTCATATATGTATCTAGCAAGGTAGAAGATCTGGTATGATATACTAGTCAAGTAAAACTCAAGCAAAGTGAATAATATTTTAGTGAGATCGGACCCAAAGCTGGTAAAGTGGGATTTGTACATGACACTAATATAGAAATATTTTCTATATAGTTAAAATAATTAGTAAAAATAAATTTGTAATTATATTAAATTTGTGATTATGAGAAGGTGACTATAATAGAGGTTAACTATATTTTCAAACAATTGAATTATGTATGATATGCAAAGATATGATGTTTATTTGTTTTCAACACAGATAAATTTAATAAAAAAATTTTAAAACTCTAATTTGAAGTATTATTTAAATTAATTATAGATTAGTCTAAAAGAAAATTATTTATTTGTATAAGTATGTACTTTTTTTATCGAAATATTAAATTGATATTTTTAGTATTTAGCAAATAAATTTAAATAATTTTAAAATACTATTATAGAGCATTATAAATATAAAAGTAATAAAAATGAAGATTATTATGAATAAAATTTAATTACTTAGAAACTCTAATTATATAAAAAATAAAGTTCAGAATATAATTTATAAAACCAATGAATTATATATAAAATGCAAATATATGTGGTTATATTCTAATAAATAAAAATTTACTATAATTGTTCAATTGATTTCAATGCATATTAATTTAACAATAAAAAATTTTGATTTTAATAGATTAATTGAATGGTAGTTCACATTTATTTGTATAAGTATGTACTTTTATTAGAAAAGTTAAAATGATATTTTTAGTATTTAATGAATATATTCAAATAATTTTAAAATAGTTTTATA